GGAATTAGCCTCCCCTTTTGACTCTTTTGTACTGTAACGTTCAACTAGTTCATATAGTCACTGACTAAAAATGGCTATACTTCTCTACAGTGTTACACAATTGCACAAAGTTGTTTTTTAATATCATACAACAATGATGATTGTTCCCCTCCACCCCCCTCAAAGACTCTCCAACTCAGATTTTATTGTGAAAATGAAACTTCATCTGTTCCGCTGAGAGGCTTCCACGTTAGAATTTGAGAGTTAACTGTGCAAAGTCAGGCTCCCACCTGGCTGCATAAAACTTCTGTGAAGAACAACTTTTTGTTGCAAACATGCAAAATACCTTTATCTGTTGAACGGCTTGTATCTGAAACGTCTAGCTCTCATTTGACTTCTTTCCTTTCATGCTGAGTATAGTCACGTTGCAGGAAGTGGTTTATGGCTTGCTCAGAGAAGTCCCTCGTTAACGTAAGTTGTAAACTCATAATTTTGTACTTAACAAAGAAGAGGAGGAGTGAGGGCTTTTCTCTGACACTAACTCCTACGTATAGTCTGGTTTATGAACAGACCATAAGCAGCAGCAAAACTGTGTTGTGCCAATTATATGTTTGGGTCAGCTGCACTTACTGTCTTTGGCACCTGTTGCCCAGCAGGTGACCTGGTGGCCTCAGCAAGGGACAGTCATCCTGTGGTATGTCCCCTGGCTTCCTAGGCACTATACTGTCCCGTAGGTATGCTGGTACCTGTGAAGTATCACCAATATGGGATAGTTGGAAAAGTACAGCCCTTCTAGCACATTTAGGTCCTCTACTTCTAAGTCCTTGTTAAAACACCAGCACAGAAATGGTATTTGTGTGTATCCTTTTGGACCTCAGTCATGTTTTCACATATGTTAAAATACCTGCAGCTGATTAGACTTCATTTGTATGCCTTTGATCTCCCTGTATGCTAGACTTGTTTCTCTTCTGCTTCTAATTCAGCAGTGTCTGCTTTCTAAACAAAGAAAAAAACCTCTTCTGTTGAGCATGTTCTGTGGCTTGCTTTTTAACTGAAACGCCTTCTCCCCTTCTGCCTCTGCGTTTTCCATACGTTCACTTCCTCCTCAAATATAAACTATAGATGGGCTCTTCTTCCATCCTACGCCTCAGCAGGTTAGATTAAAGAAACTAAGGTATGTAGAGCAGTATTTCTCTAATGCTTTCCTGGTTTTGCTTCTCCTCACCATGTGAATCCACTGTTCACAGTTCATGCATGAATGCTGTGGATAACCTGACTTCTCTGACTCTGATTAGCTCATAATTAAATATGATTTGACAGCCCTGGACGTGTCTTGCCCTCCCGACCTTGATGATGGAGCATTGAGATCTGTACCATCTCAGAGAAGTAACTGAATACCTGTGCCTTGATTTTTCTCATTTTAAATAAAGACAATGCGATGTGTAGGAGAAAATTGAGATTAATTCTTTGGTGTCTGGCATGCTTTCAAAATCTGCAGATCAGATGCAAAGTGTTACAATGCTTGCTATATATCACTTATGTTACAGTTTGTGCTCTCTCATTATAGCTCTTCATACATGACTGCTGAGGAGTGAGCAAGCCCTTCTGCAGTACTACTGCAGCGTGGCTTCTGGCAGTTGGGCATTTCAGACTGCTTTAGCTTAAGGCACAGCTTCAGGCACCATTCACTTTTTCCTCTTAGCTTGCTACAAGTTGCCTTCAAAGTAACACGTGAAACATCTGTGAACTATCAGTATTTTGCTTGTATTTTTGTTAATTCTTTCTGCTGTTATTTCAGGCTGTTGTAATGCAGTATGCTGGAGGGGATGTGAAAACTGATTAATAGGTCATTACCTCAGCAAGAATGATATCTGAGTTATTGCAAAGTGAAGTTTTGCTCAGGTATCTTTCCTCTAAGGGGAGGCTCTTTGCTCTTTCAGCTGCTTGATACAGATTCAAAAGCTTTTGTGCTTCACATTGTCTCTCTGTAGCTATAGGTTACATGTGTAGTCTGAAACAGAACAAGTATATACTGCTTATACAAACAAGTTTACGGCTTATAAAAATGTGATTTGTCTTCAGTACAGCAAAGCCAAGAGAATTAATCAAGTGTGTGGCTGCCCCCTTCAAGGCAATAAATAAAGCTTGAAGTGTCTGCTACTGTACCTAAGATTTTATTCTGATTGGACAATGGATTTGTGAGTGGGGATGGATTTTTCCTAATAGGAAATAAAAGCATTTTGAGGCAGGAGGTGCCGTACTAATCCTGACAGCTCATGTTTGTTGAGAGCAAAAGGGAGGGAGGGAGGAAGGAAAGGAATGTAGAGGTAAGGAGTTAGCTAAGCAAAATGTAACCGTGAGAAGTAAACCTAAAATATGCTATGCTGCATAATTGTAGGTAATTGCTGTGCCCTAAAGATAGAGCACTGTTCATTATTAACAAAACTGCTTGGTCCTCTTTCATATTCCAAAAAACATCCGATCTTTAGCAATCCTGCTAATGTTAAAGGAATTTCATTAAACTGGGCTCTCAAGGCCACCGGACCTAGGCGTTCTGATTGGGGTAGGAAGGTTGACACATCAGACAAAGTCCAGATCATGACTAGGGTAAATAAAAGCAGTAAGATTTATGGGGAAAGATGTACATACGTTGTCTTGTTTCCTGGTACATCTCAGATCGTTTGCAGTCCTGTGAGAGGAGGAGAAGTAACAAAATGCCTTGGAACCAAAGCAAGATGAACCAGTATACCAACAATTTGAACTTTTGATTTGGGTTATAAGTGAAACGGAACCGTCTCGCCTGACTTCCTAACAGGCAGAGGTCTACCTGCCTATTGCAGAAAGCCTTCAATGCTGTAACTATGAAGTTATGCTTAAAGGAAGTCTTCAGAAAGGTGCAGAAATGAATACTTGCTAGTGGAGGCAACAGCCAGGTAGCAGAGGAAGAAGCCAGGATTCTGCTAGCTTTGCAGACCTCTGAAGAAGAGTTGGTGAGGCAGTCAAAGCAAAAATGAATTTCCTGCATCACTTATTTTGCAGCTCCCTGCTGTTTCTGTGTTACAATGGGCTACTTCTGTAAACAACCTGCTTCTGTAAGCTGCAGCTGGGGAAACTAAAGAACCATGTTCCAGCCACTCTGACCTGACTCTGTGACTAGTTCTCTGGCTTACATGGCTTCCTGTGGGCAGTTAACAAGCTTCTCTGAAATTTGAGCTACCGGACATGCCAATAGTTAGGTGACTGTGTCTTATACGCTGAGCACCAAATAACGGTAGGGGATTGCCAACTGAGCTGCTTTGCAACATATACTTTGTACATGTCATCTCTTTATTTCTGTTGCTATGACTCATTTAACAGTAGCCTGCAAGATAAGTGTATAATGTTTTAGTTGGCATGAATTTCGTATGTGATTGTAAGGGAGTAGCACTGGAATCAGATCATATCTGTTTCCAGGTATATCATATATGCCTAATAGGTAACAGCTATTTTGAAATCTGGGTCATGCGTCTGCTGAATTGTTTTAAGCAGAACCTCAGGTAAGAAACGTGTATTGCCTTTCCCTTTCAAGAGCTTGAACGCTGGCTCTACAGAGAATCAGGTACGCCTGCGCGCTCACTTCACTGGGTGGTTGATCTCAGAACAGCTGAACAGAAATATCGTTCTGTTTAATCTGAAGGGGCAGCACTGCATTGAAAGAGGATCCTGATTCTTAATCTGCTTCATTCTTCAACAAATCTAGATTATATCCAGACCTGGGTGACCTCTGTCAAAACCCAAGGGAGATGTGCAGACTAGAACTAGTACCTCTTGGTGTTTGTGCTTTAAAGGCCCTCAGGCACAGAGGTTCCCATGCAGTCTTCTCCGTCTTTACTGTGTTGCTATAGTCACACTGTTTTTCTCCAAGTCTTCCCATTAAGAAGGGAGCTTCTGGGGCAATCTTGTCTGAATTCTTTTCCTCAAGAGAGGAAAGAGCCTGGCAGTAGAGCTTGTGCAGAAGGGTATCTTAAACTCTGGAGACTTGATTAGCGAAGCGCTTGGGAACCTGGGAGTAGGATTTCCTCTGCAGATGAAGAATGATAGGGTGTCTGTTAGACTCCATCTGACAGATCTATGACTGACTGGAAAATGTTCTGATCAAATAACATCTCTTGTGCCCCTATTCTTAAATGTCAGGATTTCCTACAAACGCTGGTAGGTAGAAGGGTCATCCAGGACATAAAGTCATATTTTTGCCCTTATGTGGAAGAAAGGAAAACCGCCTTTACTTGACCACAACTTGAAAGTACTTGTGGCTGGCAGCTAGAAAAGTATTCGGACTTGTAAACTTGCAACAACTTTCATTTAATGGTGTATCCAGATTAATATGCAAGTATCGCAAGTGTTGGATGTCCCTTACGGAGGATCACTAGAGTGGTTTCTGGAGCCTCCACTTATAGTATTGCAGATGTCCCAGTCTTAAAGTTGCTTGACTTCTCAGTCTTATTTTGTGAATAGTCTTGCTTTACCCAGGAGTGGCTTCTTAATTAGTGTTTACCTGTATTTATCAGAGTTTAGTGTTTCATGTTTACAGACCCAAGGGACTGAGGGAAAAGAGGGTCCGCAGATAATACAATCTCTTGCGATGGCTTTAGCAGCTCTTTTATAGGCAAATAATCTCTTAAATGGCACAGAAAAAGAGCAGGTCCAGTGAGAAGGTACATCTAAAATAAGATCTAAGTGATTCAGATTTAACTTAAATTTCCCCTACCAGCAATTGTAAAGATTTGTCAAGCTCTTCTGTAGAATATAGGTCAAACAAAATCTTAGTGTAGTTTTAGTGAAGACTGTAACTGTCCATATGGTGTCTCATTAAACTCTTATTCCTAGTAGCCTGGCCTTGTATGCATTCAGAATGGAGTTGATCTCAAGTGGTTGTGTACCTCTAAGTTAGGAGTAAACAAGCAAACTTGTTTTGCAAATTGAAAACGTGAATTCTTCACTAAAAATGATTTTGTATATCTAACTGTCTTTTTCCATTCAAGTTGCAGGCGTTATTACAGCTGATTTTCTATCAGGATTATTTCACTGGGGAGCAGACACCTGGGGATCTGTGGAACTACCCATAGTTGGAAAGGTTTGTGTTTCTTACCCTTAAACATAAAAACCATTTGAAATACTTTCTGGAAATGCTTCCAGTGTTGTAACACTTGCATCCCAGCTCTATTGGACAGTATATACAAGCTGTGCTTTTCTTGTGATGTTGTGAATGTGGCCTGCTCTCTGCACTGCCCCCCACTTTGGCCCCTTGTACCCTTTTCTGCTAAGTGGCACAATGCATTGTTGGTTGAGTGCACCAAGAGTCATGTTTGCACTTGGTCTAGGTGACACGTACAAGGTGACACTGCTCCATTTTATCGTCCTGATTAGGGATTGCACACAGTTTTGCAATACCAGTGTTCACAGACAGTGGGAATGGCCTATGATGCCACAAGTGCAGAAACCTGGCTAAACTTAGTAGAACTTCAAAAAGGTCAATAAATGCAGAGACGGGCGGAATTTAGGTGCTGTCCTGCTTCATCAGGTATCCTATGTCTGTTTTTAAAATCTCTGAAAGCTGACTTGAAAACATGGAGAAGCTCTAGTAAGAAACTTCTCCAGTTCTTTGTACTCTTGGCACCTGTTCAGTAAATGCAGCAGTACTAGGATGACAATCACTGAAGATTTAGATCACCTGTCTGTAGCTACAAGTGCCAGATGCTTGGAGGAAAGTCCACTGATTCCTATAATAATCTGCACTAATCAGCAGTAATCTGTTCTTTAAAGCAAACTTCTTCATAGGTGCCATTAATTACTCCTCAGGTTGCAGTATTAGGAGGATCTTTATTTTTTAAAAGAATGTATATGGGATATTCTTTGTAATTAAACAGAAGTACATGAACCAGTAGAGCAAACTTAAGATTATTGGGTTTAGGATTTTTTTTTTTTAACCTTCAATAGATTTTAGTAGTCCTTGAATGCCAGTATCTGTGGAGCATAGTTCCAAGGGGGGGGGGGGGGGGGGAGACACCCACACCACAGAGTCTGAACACTATTGTTTATCCAGGACACTCTTGCATAAACTGTACAGGATATATGTGTTGCAAGCAAATAAGTACGCTTGTTTTACTGTCCCTGTCCTACTTACTATATTTCATATCCTTTCTCTGGGCTTATATATTGAGATGCTATTTCTATTCCTAAAGGAGACTTTTGTGTATTCTGTTTGACTGGTGTTGGTTTGTCTGTGCTGTTTAACTTTCATGTTGTCTGCTAATGCAGTCATTTACAGCCCATAGAAAGTGTAAGACTAGGTTTTCTGTTTCTCTTGTTGCCTTGATTCATGCTGCTAGCAAATTTGTTTTTGTTTTTCTCTGTGAAATTAGGATGATGCGTCTTGTTTTTGAGATTTAAAACCTAAATGCCCTAGGTGAACATTAGCAAGAATAAAACTGAAAAGCAATTCCAAAACTGTATTTGAAATTAAGCCTTGAATTGCTTTGCAGATGGAAATCAAATTATTTCAAATGTTCTCATTGCAAAAATTTGAACCTTGTTTACTTGCATGGTAGTAGGGAAATCTTTCCAATGCAGTCATCAGACTTGAGTCTAATACTTTTTTTGATTGTTCTTGATTCATGGTGGTGTGTGGTTTTTTTTTTTTTTTTTACTTGTTCTCTCAGGCTTTCATCAGACCATTTAGAGAACATCATATTGACCCCACAGCAATTACCAGACATGATTTCATAGAGACCAATGGAGACAACTGCCTTATGACATTAGTCCCATTGGCAAACATGGCATACAAATTTGTTTCTTTTTCCCCAGGTAAGCTGTTACTCATGACTTGTGTGAATTTAGAGTTTTTGTTGATATTCAGATGAGCATTTGTCTGTATGAGGCTGGAAGAAATCGGTGAATGTGAATGACAAGTATGTGAACTGTGAATGGAAGTGTGGTCCCTGGAGGAGGGAGGGGATCGCTCTTGCTCGCTCTCTCCCTTTTTGTTGTGGTGGTTGCAAAGGGGTATAGGATTTGTCTGTCTGGCCCAACAGAGAATCTATGGCTGAAGAGTCTTGTAAGGAAGCGTTAGAAGTTACAGTAATTATTCTGGATTGTTCAGAACAGTAAATTTCACTATATACCCACCAGAAAGCCTATAAAACAGAAGTGCTATGTGTATGTGCAGAAATACTTTACTTACCAACTAGAAGTGCAAGAATTTAAGGATAAATTTAAATTTATAGATAGTAAATCAAGAATTTAAGTTCCTGTTTATGATGAGTTGACAGACTTCAGCACTTACCAGCCTGTCTTGTGAATCTTGTGTTCTGAAATTGTTTATGGCTCACCGGCTCTTGCGGCACTCTTGCCAAAGCAGCTTGGTTGAGGCCTTTGTTAGTTCCTGCAGCACTGAGCAGCTCTGGCTGGGCAAGACATCATTTTCCTAGTGGAAACCTTTTCATAAGCAATATTTAAAAATGCAAATTTTGTTTTGCAGAGGCATTATATGAAACATGTCCTTGGGAGTGTTATGTCTTTGCCCTGATCATCTTCATAACCATGACGAACCAGATTCACAAGTGGTCTCACACGTACTTTGGTCTTCCTCGTTGGGTCATCTTTCTACAGGACTGGCATGTTATCCTGCCACGGAAACACCACAGGATCCACCACGTGTCTCCACATGAGACGTATTTCTGCATTACCACTGGTAACGTATTCTGGTTCGTCCTGCAAACTCTTTTCACCAGTCTGTAGTACAATTCACCTGGCAAGATGTAATTTGACAGCTAATGAAATACAGAAAATGTGGCAAAAATAACTGTAGTTTCACAAGAGCTCATATGGCTTTAGCTGTTACTGCTGCACAAAAAAGAAATGTAATTAAGGTTTAAAAAAAGAAATGTGCATTAAGGTTTTAAAAAGAAGGTGGAGGGAGGTTTGTGATCGGCTGAAAGACGACTTTTAGTCTGGCGGGGTGGTCAACAATACTGAGATCTGATTGCGTGACAATTTGGGAATCTCATGTAGTAATACATTTCATTCATTGAAGTCTGAAAGCTGTTGTTCCCTCTTACACAAGCATCGTATCATCTGCAAGTGCGTCTTACCTCAAATGCTCGTTTCCAATAAAAGCTTCTGCATTTTCATCAGTCATTCATTCTGATTTGAGGCAGAGGAGAAGACAGACTAGCAAGAAACTTATCTTGGATTTGGGGGTCCCCTTATATCTATACTCAGTTTTATGCTTGCTGTACAGGTAGATATACTCAAACACCAGTGTTGCGTAATCCTGAGTAAGCTATCAAGTTCATCAAATAGCTGGAAATAAATGACTTTGGTTCTTGATTCAGTCATTGGCTTTGACAAGCAGTTTCTCTGTCAGTTTTGAAATCTGTGCCAAGAAACAAATCCAGTTCCCATGACCAGAATGCCATGTGAAAGTACGGTACGATTATGGAGCATGATTTGACAGAGGATGGCAAAAATCTTGCTACCCTAAGTGCTTGTTTCAGTCTTACTATGCTCTGAAGCAACAGAGGTAAAAAACAAAGTTGGAGCTTGACCATTAATAGTGGTCTTCAGCTAGTTGCTTTTATTTTCTTATCTCCTTAAAAAAGGATGAGCTACGTGTTCTTCTGTTTTATCAGTGTTTTCTGTAAGGGTTCATACCATACTAGTCTGACATAACACAGCATGATAGATTGTTCCACTGAAAAATGTGAGTATGCAAAGTGCTTCTGCAGCCCTAACGCTTTTTCAACTCAGGCAGAAGTGAGAAGGAAGACAGAAACGTGCAATCAGTGCACCATTTAAAATAGGCCTTTATTTTGTAAAGTATGACTAGTTATTGTAATGTGTGTTGCACTTAATCACTACCAAGCACAATTACTTTAAGAGCAAGACTGCCAAGTCCAAAGAGTATGCTTGGATCCAGAGCTAATCGCCGTACGTAAAGGTCTGCCATTGTATCATTGCCAGGGAAAGCGTCAGATAACAGCTTTCTGGCATTCCCAATGTTAAAACTTTCAGATTGATTGCCGTTTTTAGACACTAGGAAAGGAGGGATCCATTCCCTGAGGGAGCTGGTTGTGTTAATGAGAATCGTATGGGATGCTTTCCCAGAGGTCCTCAGTACAGTGAGGTGAGTGGGATTGCAGTATCACAGGTGAACTGAAAGTCCTGTCCAGCTGTAGAAGCTGCCGGAAAACAGTGCCTGATTTGATCATTAAAGCTGTAATTATGTCTAGGAAGGATCTTGCTCTCTAGAAGTATGATGTTACTTGTCAGCAGTGGTTATCCTGAATGCTTTTTCATTTTAGTATTTCTTTCCCCAAACATTAACATCGGATTAAAACAGAGCAGCAAGAACAGTCGTATTCCTTTTACTGGTTGTGCCCTGCTGTAGCAATGTTGTTTGGATCTTTCAAAGCTGGCTCTGTGGGAGCTTTCACATGTTTAAGTTTTGCCTGTACCATCCTGTCTTTTAGCCACCTCTTTCCTTCAACATGAACCTCTGCTGCTTGCTCATTGTTTTTGTTTTGGTAACAACAGCCTCTTCACATTCCTGCCTCTCCTTTGCTTTCCTTTTCTCACACTCTCCTCCATGCAGGTTTTGTGGAAAAGGGAAAAACGTGTAACATAGGTACCTATATACGTAGGTATGTGTATAACTTCTGTAGTGTGGGATAGCTAATATAACCCTGTGCACGTCCATCTTTTTCTGGTTGTAGAAGAATTTCTACATGGTAATAACATTTTGCAGCTCTGATTTGTTTTGTTTTTCTTGGTTATTGCGGTACTTAATAAAACAGAGACCTAAAGTTAACTATGTAAGACATCGTGATAAAAAACTATGAAGTTGCCTCTCATGCGCTCTTCTATTAGTTATAGGTAGTTAGGTTGGCTTCAAAGAACAGTATTAGAGAAGCAAATTAATTAACCTACTAATTAATATCCCAAGAGTAAGACACACAGCCCGTCTGAATTCAGTATGAAGCATATTAAGCTTATGTGAGTTCCAGCCTTGCAGTCTGTGCTATGTAATGATTCTATAAAACACTTGCAATATCAGTCTGTAGTCTAGCAGTAATGCTTTAAGCTCTTGTTGCATGCTGAGGACAGTGGCATTTGTTGCATTTTGTTATATAAAATGGTAAGGCCTGTCCCATATCAACTGGCTGTGACCTTTCTGGCTACGTGGAAGCAGAAGTGCTCAGTAGATGAACTTGCATGCCTTTGGGAATGTGCTGCCAGCAGTCCTGCCCTCTTAATCCAGTAAGTGTCCAACTTGAACTATCATTAGGTGCAGTATGGCACTACAGCAAGATTTTTCCCATCAGCGGCTTCAGTAGTCATCAGCTAAGCAAATATTAGTTTTGCGCAGAGAGCATACTATGTTTAAGTATCTTAAAAAATCCAAACTATGATACTGGCACTACTGACAGATTTATTAAAAACAAAACAAAGAAACAAAACTTTGCTTTGAGCCTTATTTAGGTTAGGCCTGTTTAGGGCTCAAACGGAAATCTATTTTTTGTGCGTCTTACGAGATTTCGGCGCCCTGTTGTGTCCATTTACTTTCTTGCCGTACTAGCTAACGAGAAACAAGAAGAAAAGCCAAGCTTTCAGTGATGGGGAAACTGTAATCAGGGAAGAAATAGCTGCATTGTTTTTTTGAATGTCAACACTAAATCCAAGGTGCTACTAATAACAGTGTTTTGCTTCTAATGCAGATCTGTTGAACTGGATAGTCTATTTTCTGATAGCTTTGTGCAAAGGCCAATATTGTTAGCTAGAGTTCTCCACCTCTGAACTCGCCTTATGTTTACCTTGTGTTTAAATTAGAGAACATTATTAAATAAACACTGCAAAACATGAAACTTTGGATGATATGACTTAAACTAATCTTTTTTTTTTTTTTTTTTTTAAACTCCTTTACAATCATTCAGGTTGGCTGAACTATCCATTAGAGAAGATAGGATTCTGGAGGTGCTTGGAGAACATTATCCAAGGAGTAACTGGAGAGAAGCCAAGAGCAGATGACATGAAATGGGCTCAGAAAATTAAATAACTTTTGCCAGCCTTCTGCAATCCTCATCTTTGTTGCCAATGTTTTTTAAAAAAAAAAAAAAGCCATCAGCCAAATTCAAGACTTGCAAAGAAGTAACAGACTCTAAAGCACAAACTAAAAAGTGCTAACACAGACTGTAATTAAAGAACTAATTCTTAAAACAATACTTGAAATGAAGATGATTACTCTTACTGAGCACCTTTTGTTTAGCCATGTCTGCTTACATCTTAGAAAATACTTCATCACTGTATGTTGTAAAAAGCTATCAGCAAGCCAGAAGGCAGGACAGTCACTCCATTGATACATGGTGGCATAGTAAACATGTGTTGTATCAACATTATTTAACACTTCAAAAATAGCTTGTTGCCTAAGAGCTACAGGGGGAATGGTGACAACAGTTTGTCACTTTGTGGTTGAATCCAAGTACACTGCATGAAAACAGTGTGTCAGAGTAATGGAAGCCTATAAAATCATCACTGTTCAATGCACTTAGTGGCTGGTAAACTTACAGTTCAGTCTTCGCTATCATGTTAAATCTAGTTGATGTAATGTGGAACAGACTTTTGAGTATCCTACTCCACCAGTGGGCCACGAGTCCTTAAGTGTCTTCAGTTTCCCTTAAAATAAAATTGTTCTACTCTCTGCGTGGAATTGAGCAAACCATTTCTGCATAAGCCTTCAACTGTACCTTAACAGATGTCTGAGCAGAGGGAGGGCACACTCTGTCCAGCACCAGCTTGTGCTAGTTCGTGTGGAGCGCTCACTGATAAGAGCCTTCACTAAGTGTTTCCTACCCTGATAATAAGTGTTTAAAATAGTTCTAGCATTGGGCATATTGCAAATAGCTGTACTCAAGAGCTCAAGGTATCAAACTTGTGATGTTAGAAGGGAAATGTCTTTTTTTTTTAAGGTGCTTGCTTGTTTCTGTAAATAATATAAAGCCTTAATCTCTTCTCGTGTAATGGGATAATATTTTAATGTGATGTTTGAATGTATATAATATTTATAACAAAGCAGTTGGATAATACTAATCATGTTTGTTAAGTCTTGTTGCTGTTCTTCATTCATGGATTCTCGGTGTTCAGTTCCAAAATTTGATCGTTTAGCTGCTAAATACTTGATGTTATTCCAGCCATCTGAAACACTTTGCAGCCTGTTAACTCTTGCATAGGCTGAAGTGGTCAATTATTTTTCAAGTTTGTAGGAGCTTAACACTACATTACACTGAACTTCAATACCTTTCCAGAAGTGCAACTCTTAACTGCATTGGATACTAAGGATTAACTGCTGGCCTGGGGGAAGTGTCTTCCTTTAACACATTCTTAAGTGTCCACATCCAACAGGCACTTGATGAAGTGAACATGATATGCATCTTGTTTGTTTCTCTACTAAATGAAAGCTTATTTCCCTCCTCAAGAGTAATTGTGTTGAATTCAAATTGTCCTTTCCTAAATGCATGGTAAGAGTTGTTTAAGTCCTAGGTAAAAGCCTGCTTTAGACTAACCTTGATCTGAAATCATGGTGGCTGTAAACTTTTAAATTTCAACTTCTTCAAATGTGATGGACCACATCTTCTTAAAGGGCTGGAACTTGGCAACTCTGCCTCACTGGGATCTGCTGAATGTAGAAGTATCTGA